CAATATGGTATCGAGAGCTCTGCGTTAGGGTTATCGTAAAGCTTTCTACAACTAGTGGGGTTCGAAAAAAAATTTTGTTCGACCCGCTTTTTTATCCGATCTGATTCACATACCCGTTTAATCTCTTATGGCGAATAACAACGGCAATGGCCGTAGCAACGGAGGTGGCCGCGGAAACGGCGGTGGTGGGGAGATGGTGAACGAGAGGAACCGTCAGTGGTCACAAACAGTGGCAATAATGACGGCAATAATGAAGACAGGAATATTGTCTTTGGTGATAGTTATTCCAACATAGGCGGTAATGATCAAGAGGGTTCCTCATACTCCCTCAAGGTCAATATCCCTAAACTGAATGGGAATAACTATAATGAATGGGCTCAAACCGTTCGGTTCATGTTGGATCGCAAAGGAAAACTTGGTTTCTTAACAAATGGAAATCTGAAAACTCTTTGATTATCGTGTGGCTGGTAAGCTCCATGGAAACTGGAATAGGTAAGCCTTACATGTTTTTGCCTTCCGCAAGGGATGTGTGGGAAGTTGTTAAGGAAACATACTCTGATATTCAAAACTCCTCCCAAATTTTTGGTTTAAAATCAAAGTTATGGCATGCGAAACAAGGTGACAGGAGTGTAACTGTTTATTACAAGGAGCTGTTGACACTGTGGCAAGAGTTGGATCTTTGTTATGACAACAATTGGAGGTGTACAAAAGATAGTGTGTTGTTTCTCATGAGGCAAGAAAATGATCGTGTATTCATGTTTTTCGTTGGGCTCAATAAAGATCTTGATGAAGTAAGAGGTAGAGTTTTAGGAAAAATACCATTGCCAACTCTTCGTGAAACTTTTGCAGAAATAAGAAAGGAGGAGGCACGACAAGGAATTATGATGAGCAAGACACCACGAAGCTCTGAATCTGAAGGTTCAGCTCTGTCTACTAGGAACTTTGACGAGGGAAGAAGGTCACATAAAGTTCCTTGGTGTGATCACTGCAAGCGCGAATGACATGCACGTGAAACCTGTTGGAAGCTCAAAGGCAAACCTCCAAACTGGAAGAAGAAAGGTGGTCGTGCATTTCAGGCTAGTAATTCTGATCAAGGGCAGCAATCCCCTACAACTCAGCTTCTATTTACTACGAAACAACTAGACAAACTGTACAAACTCCTAGAGTCTCCAACCCCTTCTTGCTCTATAGCAAGAAAAGGTAATTCTGCACTTGTTAGTGTCAGTCCCAATCATACTTGGATAGTAGATTCAGGTGCCTCTAATCACATGACAGGTGAATCTACTTTGTTCTCTTCATATAGTCCATGTGCAGGTAATCAAAAAATAAAAATTGCAGATGGCTCTTTTTCAGCCATTGCAGGTAAAGGGTCAGTTGTGTTGTCTCCAATATTAACTCTTAAAAATGTCCTTCATGTTCCAAACTTATCGTGTAATTTAATGTCCGTCAGTAAATTAGCCCAAGATATAAATTGTCAAACTAATTTTTTCTGATTTCATTGTGTCTTTCAGGATTTGAACTCGGAGAAGATGATTGGCAGTGCTAAGGAGAGTGGAGGACTCTACTACCTTGACATTGGATCTGCATCACAACTACCTTTAACAATAAGTTCCTGCTTTAAGTCTTTTTCTTTTTTGAATAATAAAGATGACAACATTATGGTATGGCATTTAAGATTAGGTCATCCTAGTTTTCGTTATTTAAAACACTTGTTTCCTAAGTTATTTCACAATAAGAATTTTCTTCGTTTAAATGTGAAGCATGTGAGTTTGCAAAGCATCATCGTTCCAAATTTTCAACACAACCTTATATACCATCAAAACTGTTTTCTATTATTCACAGTGATGTTTGGGGCCCTAACCGTACTAATACACTCTCTCTCAAAAACTGGTTTATCACATTTATAGACGACCATACAAGAGTATGTTGGGTGTACTTGTTAAAGGGGAAATCAGATGTTTGTCAGGCTGTAAAGAATTTTTTTTCAATGGTGCAGAACCAATTTCGAACAAATATCCAAGTTTTTAGAAGTGATAATGGCAAAGAATATTTTAGCACTATCCTGGATGATTTTTTTCTAAAAAATGGGACTGTACATCAAAGTTCATGTCCTAATACTCCTCAACAAAATGGAGTGGCCGAAAGGAAAAATAGACATTTATTGGAGGTTGCTAGAGCTCTACTTTTTTCGAATAAAGTACCAAATTATTTGTGGGGCGAAGCTGTTTTAACAGCTGCATATTTAATTAACAGAATGTCCTCCAAAATTCTCAATTTTCAAACTCCAATTAATGTCTTCAAAGAATGTTTTCCTAGTACTCGTGTTTTAACTGATTTGACTTTAAAAGTCTTTAGTTGCACAGCTTTTGTTCATGAACATAAAAATGTCGGAAAACTTGAGTCACGTGCTATAAAATGTGTCTTTGTTGGATACTCCTCAACCCAAAAAGGATATAAATGTTTTAATTCAAAAAATAAGAAAATGTTTGTCACTATCGATGTTACATTTTTTGAAAATAAACATTTCTTTGATGACACTCATCTTCAAGGGGGAGAAATAAAGGAAGACTCGTTTCAAATTGAGGACATGAGTTTTTTGAAAAATTTATCTTTGCCTGCACCACAAAATTCTGAGACTTTTACATCTGCACCAACAAAAAATGGCCATGATTTTGTATTTGATCCTACTCCTATTATGAGTAAAGAGCCTTGTGAATCCGAGCCTACATTTTCTCTTGTAGAAAACAATGAGAATCCTGAAAACGATGATAATGATGATCTAATTGAAATGCCACAAAATAATGAGTCACTTTAAGAAAACAGATTCGAATTAGGAAACAGGATTTGAAAAGGGAAGGTTTTTGTAAAAAAGCACCATAAACGAAGGGACGAGTCCACATCTCAACACTGCCAGGAATCTGAATTGGAGAATGAACAACCTCCTAACAAAAGGAAAGGTAAGTCTATCTTTGATTCTAAGAGTCGTATCTTGTATCCTGATATAGATGATTTTGTTGCCATTAGAAAACCTGTCAGATCTTGCACTAAACACCCCATGTCCAATTTTATTTCATATTCAAATTTGTCTTCATCTATGTCTGCCTTCACCTCAAAATTGTCTAGTGTTGAAATTCCAAAAAGTGTACAGGTTGCTCTAGAAATTCCAAAGTGGAGGGATGTTGTACTTGAGGAGATGAAAGCTCTTGAAAAGAACAAAACTTGGAGTGTTACGTCGCTACCAGATGGCAAGAAGACAGTTGAGTGCAAATGGGTGTTTATTGTGAAGTATAATTCAAATGGGTCAATTGAAAGGTACAAGGCTCGCTTGGTGGCTAAAGGCTTCACTCAGACCTATGGTATAGACTACTCAGAGACATTTGCTCTTGTTGCAAAATTAAACACTATAAGAATTCTTTTATCTCTTGCTGCTAACTTGGATTGTCCCCTACATCAGTTAGATGTTAAGAATGTCTTTCTTGATGGTGATCTAGAAGAAGAAGTATATATAGACATTCCTCCTGGTTTTGAAAACAAATTTGGATCAAATGTATGCAAACTAAATAAGTCTTTGTATGGATTAAAGCAGTCTCTCAGAGCTTGGTTTGAAAAATTCACTAAGTCCATGAAGAATCAAGGGTACATTCAAGGACAGGCTGACCACACCTTGTTCACAAAATTCTCCAACGATGGGAAAGTTGTTGTTCTGATTGTTTATGTTTATGATATTGTCCTTACTAGAGACGATACAGTGGAAATGACAAGGATAAAAGAGAAATTGGCAATAGACTTTGAAATCAAGGACTTGGGATTCATGAGATATTTTCTAGGCATGGAGGTTGCTCGATCAAAGAATGGTATTGTGGTTTCAAAGCAGAAATACATTCTAGACTTATTGAAAGAAACAGGAATGAGTGGATGTCGTCCTGCAGATACCCCTATGGATCCTAATGCTAAACTTTTGGGAGAAGGTAATGTTCCTGTTGATACTGGAAGATATCAGAGATTGGTTGAAAAACTGATTTATTTGTCACACACCTGACCTGATATTGTTTTCTCAGTCAGTGTAGTGAGTCAGTTTATGCATTCTCCTTTCGAAGAACATCTTGAGGCAGTCTATAGGATATTGAGATATCTGAAGGGAAATCCTGGAAAAGGATTATTTTTTAAGAAGACTAGTGAAAGGAATGTGTCTATCTTCACCGATGCTAATTGGGCAGGTTCAGTCACCGATAGAAGATCAACCTCTGGATATTGTACCTATGTTTGGGGTAATCTTGTGACATGGAGGAGCAAGAAGCAAGGCGTTGTAGCAAGGAGTAGTGCAGAAGCCGAGTTTAGAGCTATGTCTCAAGGTATTTATGAAGGATTATGGATCCTTAGAGTCTTAGAAGAACTTAAGATGAAAGTTGAGCTTCCATTGAAATTGTACTCTGACAGTAAAGCTGCTATTAGCATAGCTCATAATCCAGTTCAACATGACAAAACCAAGCATATTGAGATTGATCGACACTTTATAAAGGAGAAGTTAGATGCTGGAATCATATGTCTACCTTTCGTGACTTCAAGTCAACAAACTGCGGATATCCTGACCAAAAGTTTTGCAAACCTACCTTTGAGTATTTGATAGACAAGTTGAGCATGATAAATATCTATGCACCAACTTGAGGGGGGGGGGGGGGGGGGGGGGGGGGGGGGGGTTGGAAAATATTTTATTTTCATATTTAATTGTTTACGTTTATTGTCATTTATTTTCTTTTATTCTCCATTAAGGAGAGAATTAAGTATTCTTATTGTATTCTCATTATATAAATCAGCTTTTGGCTGAGGAATAAAATTACAATAGTTTTTATCTATTTCTTCCAATAGTTTCCACAAACATAAGAGGGAAAAATAAAAAGCTAAGAGCCTTAGAGAACCAATGCCATCATACAGATATGTTTCCACAGGCATTAGAGGGAAAAACAAAAAGCTAACAAGCATTGCAGATTACAATAACATACCTTTTCCTGTACAGGACATTTGTCATCAAAAATTTGTGCTGCCTCCTCAGGCCTTAGATGCCTCTGTCTCTCTGTTTTTGACCTTTCCAACTTAAAATTACTTGGACTTGACTCTAATTTATCTCCATGGGATATATCTACCGGCAATGTGGTCACTTTGGGCAACCCCCTGCTTGGAATGCCTAAATACAGGGAGAAAACAAGATCCCCATAGTTAGACCTAAAAATAAGCAATGAAATCAAACAAAACAGTGGTATCAAATAAAATATTGGGAGAGAAAAATGAGGTATATTAAAATGCTAAGCAGACATGGCGCGTTTAATATTTATCAAGTTAAGAGGCTATCAGTTTTGAATATTAAAAGACATTTACAAGCTTTGCTCGGCTATTGAGTTTTTCATGTGTCTCAGCCTCTGGTTTCTGTTACTGGTTTTCTAAGAGAATATCTTGTCCTCCAACTGAACCTCCTTCTTTCTCTATTTTTAAAAAAAATATTTCTTCAGGAAAAAACAGGAAAATGTGAATGCGTAGCAGCACTAACCAAGTTTTGTTGAAGAAGAGATGTCAAGATCATAAGGGAGCACGTTTTAGAATGAATTTAATTAGGTACTTCTCAAATAGAGGGTCAAATGCCATGAAACCACTGCAGCAAATAATAATAAACTGCAATATTGCAGCTAAAATTGGACATGTGAGCTGTGATTTAAAACATCACTTATTATTCGTTAACTGCTTTGCATTTGTTAATTCCACGCGAAGAAGAAAAATCTAGATAAAACAATTGGGTATAATATTATAGATTTTTCATCCGATAGTGATTGGAATCATTGGATATGAATGATGATGGAAGGTCAGCTAACATGGAAGATTTAGACATATATAACTTGGGTTTGGATACTCCAAATGAAGAAGATTTACTAACTATTGTACTATCCTTCAACAAGTCAATTCACCTCAATGATACATATACATGCCTTCTCCACACCACCTTAATGCCTCATGCCATGGGTATGATGGTAGCTGATGAGTGTTTTTCTTTAGGGGGTGGCGAAAGGGGGACCACATTAGTGCATCAAACACTGTAGAAGGAAGAGGGGGCCATAAGGCCCAGTGAAGGATTGACCATTTGATGATATCAACACACTTCGACAGCAAAAGTTATGTGCTTTATCCAACAACTTTCTGTTAATATGCTGTTTAACCCAGGGATATATCTAATTATGGTGGTGTTCTAATTTAGTGCGCACATGTGATCAAATAAGCAAATGAAAATCTATAAAATCAATACCATAATATAAAGATAACTAATGATAACAACCAACTTTGGTTGGACTTTTGTTCATACAAAATTATCTTTAAGAATACAATTCTTTTTCAAATATAAATTTAAAAACAAACAACATGAACATTGAAACTAGAGTTTAGATGAATTCAGATGACATAGATATTATGAAACTGAAACAAGCAGATTAAATTAAAACAAATATTACACAATAAACATAATAAAATATGTGTAATGAAGCACAATAGAAAAAGCAGACATCCAATATAGGAGCGCAGGTTCAAACCCGCGGCATCTCTCTTATCCTCCTTTAAAAGGTGAAATTTCAATCACTTGGCTACTAGATCAAAACAAAAGCAGACAGATTTACATGTTAGCATCCATCATTCCGCTAGTATTACAAAAATGTTAATAATCATCTATGAAGTACAGAGTACAGACCCCCCCGAAAACAACATCAACACTGACACGGCTACACCCGTAATAATTTGAAATGTGCCACACAGACACGGACACACCTTTTTCTAGAGTTTTCGGTGCTATATAGATAATTAATATAAACTTAGGAAAAAAAATGGCATTTTACCAAATTAACCTTATCAAATTTTAATGTGTTCCTTATTTTCTTAAATATAAAGGGGAAGATCTTGAATTAGAGTTGTGTATTAAATACTTACAGTTGTAAAAAAAATATTAATCCAAAATGACATTCTTTCAATATGATAATTTTGGGTTACAAATGTGTCAAGAAATCAAAAATCTATTTGACTACGGGGGCACATTTACTTTATTTAATTGACAAACTACATTTTATTAACTTTATTTTTAATAATTTTATTACTTATTTACATTTTTCATAATGTTAAAATATCATATTTATTAGAATTATTATTTATTTTTGTAAAAATACAAATTAAATAAAACCATCAGTATTATAATCATTTTTAAAATAATCAATTATTTTGTTTAATTATTAATTTTTATTGCTATTGAAAAAAAAAATATGTATGTTAAAAAAAGTTACAATACACTTTATGTGGAAGGGGCGGGGAAACCATTCCCCTCCTCGTTCGGAGAGGGGTGGCTATGCGAGGCTCGTTCAGGGAGGCCGAGGCCGGGGCAGGGCTGGTATTGTTTAAACTCGCTTGCCACGCTGGGTTTCCATGCCTACTTCAAGGTCACTTTTTCATTACCAAAAAAATAGCCATATCACGAAAAAAGTTTAAACCATATCAAAGTAAGAACAATAAACAGTTAAGCTTTCAAACTAAGCAATTCTACATCTCTTCTCTATGTCAATTAACTGCAACTAAATCTACAAACTCACGAATTCAAATAAGAAAACAGAACAAAATCCATACACAGAGACAGAATTGCAGTAACCTGAAGTTGAAGAACTACCGCTACCGTTGTTAACGGAAACTCCATTGGATACAACACCGGTACTTTCCTCAACGTCCTTGCTAGTACTAACGCTCCCAGCACCTTGATCAGGCTCCAATCTAACCGAGCAATCGCTCGAAGTAGATGAATCGGAAGAAGAGTGCCGGCGATTCTCCGGCAAGTCCTTCATTTCCGCCGCGAGATTTCTGATGGAAGTAACCTAGATTCGCTGCACCGTTCCAGGGTGGAGAGAGAGAGAGAATTGAATCGAAGAAATGAAATGACGTTAGAATAGTGTGTGGCGAAGGAGATGCTAATATACGCTGTGGTGCGGTTGCTTTATCATTCAGTTGTAAAACGAACCGGGTCTGATTGGACCGGACCGGCCTGAACTAGACCGGTTATTGGATGGGTTTATCAGAAGTTTTGTTTGTGGAGAAATGACGTGTTGCGAATGTGAGTGCGCGATGCTTGATTTTTAATTTACAGAGAGAGATATCGACTTTACAGGCTGCCGCACCCGATTCCATACCATCTGGATATTTTCTTGCGGGGAAAGGGAAACAGGTCCACGTACGAGTACATGTGTCTTTTTCTAAGACAATTTTTTTTTGTCAAAATAAAAATATATTTTAAAAAAGTGACATGATTTTTTTCACACAATTTTTAAACGAAATTTTGAATCCGGACAAAAGAAATTATAAAAAGTAAAATATTAAGAAATATAAGAAGATATTTATTTAAACCAACAAGACTCTCTCAATCATTATAAAATTTGAATCTTTATATTTAAAATTTTTACAAAATTGTTTACAATTCAGTTTTTATTAATTAATGTTTAGATTTGAGGTTGAAACATATAGGATCTAAAACTTATATCCGATTTAAATTACGATTTTATTTTTAGGTTCTAATTTTTATCGATAAAATTTTGATTTTTGTCAAATTTAATTAAGTTAGAATGATGATTAAGTCGGATCAATTTATTCGATTTAATATTTATTAAAACGAACTTATAAAAAAAATTATTTTTTATAAAAAATATCAAACTTTTAAAATAGTTATTTTTCTATTATTAAAATAAATTTATTATGAATTAATATTTTCAAATAATAATATTATTTGATGATCGTTATCATACTTTAAACCATAAATTAAATAATATTTAAAATTTTATATTATATATCTTGCATTTTAGTAGTACATAATTTCACAATTAAATTATAAACATGATAATATCATGTAGCATTATATAGTAATAAAAATAAATAAAATATATATTAATTAAGTTTGGCCGGTTTCGATTTTTGTTGAGTTTAAAATAAGTATTTGAGATCGATCGAAACAATTTTAAACTAACTAAATTAAACAACTGAATCAATTTAACACTCAATCCGACTCGATTCATTTGCATAGAAAATATCAAGTCGGTCGATTTCAATCGAATAGTTAAACTTGTACAATTGTAAAAATTAAGACAAGTTAAATATCAATACCTATAAACACATATATAGTTAAAACCATCAAGGCAAGTTAAATATCAATACATAAATAGTAGATAAAGAATAGTATGTATTTTAATTTCTTTTGGAAGAGCAAACTCACCTCACTAGAGGTCTATTAAAAAAGTTAGATAAAATTATGTGTAAATATTAAAAACACGTTATATTTTAACTTTAATAACATAGTATTAGAATGATTTTTATAAAAATATTTATTAAAATGTTAAAAAAAATTGCTTTTTATAAATTAAATTAGATATTTAGAATATATATTTTATTAAAAAAATAAAAATTATGAAAGACATCATAATTATCCAAACAAAATAAATATCATCGTATGACAGTCGTTATTACGTAACTTTAGGAAGAATTTGAGTAAATTTGAATAAAGAATGATCAAAAATCATGTTAAAGTGTGAAGAATTGAGTAGAAAGTCAATACAAGGAATATACAAAGACTCTGTGAAATATGTGACAAAAAAGTAAAGAAAAAGTGAGATTTTCTTCTAGAATTCTCGCACGTGATACATTTCATTGCGGATGTAATGCACACTTTTTAGCTGGCACATTTTTTTCTATTAAAAGCAAATTTTGCCCTCTTTTGAAAGGTTCTGAATCCCAAAACTGAAAGCGACGACAATGGACGATTTCGGGTCCTTTTGAAGAGCATTTTCTTCAGTGATTTTTCATGTCCTCTGAATTTAAACTTATGATATATTTATTTTACACTATGAGTAGCTAGATTTATTCTAGGTTAGGTTTCTTTTATGACTAACGTATTATGTTATATTGGGACATATGAGAGGTTGATGTTAATGTTATTGCTTTGACATATTGTTATTATTTAACTATCACTTGTGTTCATTGCATATTGTATGTTACGACACCCAATTTTATCTAAGTAAGTAGTGATATACTGGCGTATGGTTGCTTACCATAAATAGGACAAATGTTCGCTCTCTAATCAACTAGGTGTTACACTTGGATTTTCATATACTAGAAAGTCAACAAAGAATGTCAATTAAAAGACGTTTACTATGAGCATTAATGAAGTATCTTTAAATAAGCATTAATGGTAGGGCGTCGACAGACCAATAACGAGGGGTCAACCAAGTCGTCGACGCTGCGAGACATGGTTTGGAGGACTCCCAAAAATAAATCCCCAAGACCCAGCTTACTGGAAAGTATGTCCAGAATTTCGAGAAGGACAATTAACAGAAGCCCTCATTCCAAAAAGGACCAGTCAATTGAACAACTTGGTATAAAAGACTTAGTAAATTTACAAGTATTAGGGCCTTGATAGACATCGTCAACAACACGTCGGAATAGTTATCGTCGAAGGTTCATGAAGAAGTGGAAAGCGGTTACCACTCAACATGGATTATAAGCAGATTGCGTCTTAAAAGACATGTAAGCGCACTAGTGGGAACTTGAAGGATTGAATATGGAGCAAACGTAGTGGTCCCTCAATGGTCATAACCGTCGTTGATGGTTACTTTGTAAATAGAATAAAAATTAGACTCATACATGAGATCAATGGTTACAAAATTTCATGCATAATTTTCGTACCACTTGAGTACCTGAGTAGAAGAGCGAAATAGTTTAGTGAGAAACATGTATGTGTATGTGTCCACCCTTTTTTCTTAGTTTCTTTGCTTCCTTGAACGAAACATTATACTTTTTCTTTTGCTTTGTTTAATGTTATTTACTACATTTTATCATATCAGTTATCACAACTTGACTTCATTTAAAATTTTTTGCTACACTGCATTCAATTCACACGCACGTATGTTCACACAAATTATTTGCACAAATTGCTTTGGAGATTTTTCGAGTTAATCTCACAAACTTTCAAACTCGTGATTATTTACCAAAAACACGGGTAAACACTAGGAGTAGTCTAATTAGAAATTGTGACTTAGATATTAATGCATTCTAATGCCTAGTTTGACATTCCAATTGGTCTGAGGGATTAAGGAATTAACACTTAGACTAGTGAGTTGCACATCAAGGGATTGAATTGAATGGTAGGGTTAATATGTCGTGTAACTCTTATTCCTCTGCATATTTTTCAATGCACATTTCATCAATAAAAGATAAGTAGGGTATTCTAACGAAAATACTTAATGGTCTTTATAATCGTATCTTTTCCAAAGTAAATTCTCTCTTATTTTCAGAGCAAACAAACAATTTTCAAACAAACCTCCCATTTAGTTGTTTTATCTCGCACTCGTTTACCCTGTTAAAACCCAATCCCCATGGATACAAATCTTTTTTATTACTTAAACATATACTATTACCCTTGTTAGTTTTGCCATCAAGTTTTTTGGTGTCTTTGTCGGGGATTGTTGATTTTCAACAAGGTAATTTAGTGCGACAGTTTTTAGTTTACTATTTGTTTGCTTCAATTTCTATTTTAATTTTAATTTTTGCAATTTCTAATTTTAGCTATAAATTTTATTTTCTTTTGTTAATAAGTTCAATTTTAATTTTTTTTTCTCTGCTTGTGTTTTATTTGGTGCGGTGCTACTAAGGTATTTCTTGTTTGTTTATGTGAGGTATCAACACGACGCTGGTACTGATCGATCTCTAAATTGAAAAACAACATGCACACTTCACAAAGCAAAATGAGAAGCACTTCAATCTAGTGAAAAGGTAAAATAAAAAGAATTAGAGATGGTTGTTCCACCATGTCAAACATTAGGGGACTATTGTAGAAGGACCGACTCTGACCAGATTTGTATAGGACTTCAACCGGCTAATCTAGTAACCTTTTGCATAAAAAAAATTTGTTCTAATAGGTTCAAAGGAAAACTTGTTCGACATGTAAGTAATCAGGGATCCTTGGGAGCATCTCGCTAAATTTTACGAGACTTGTTTGGTGTGTAAGCCAGCCGGTGACATCATCGATGATCAGATAATATCACGATTGTTTAATTTTTCCTTGATAGGTGTCATACCCCAATTTTGTCAGGGCATTTTTAAATTTTCTTGCATTCGATTTTATTTTCACTTTGCATCATCAGTACATCATAATTTGTTTTTCATCATGAATAATGCCTAAAATGATTGGCCGGAATGAATTCTTGGATATACAGACAAACTGGTTGAATTGTTTCTCAAATATGCGTAAAATCAGTGGATGCAAAGTTTCAAAATTGAGCTTACAAACGTCATTAATATTGGTCTATTAATGTTCACGTAGTTTAACCTAGCGCGCTCGTCTAATTTTTGGACGACTTTTTAGCCACATTTTGGCCAGTTTGAGCATTTTTCCAATACATTTATCTCGCGCTGATCATTTTAATATAGTCAATTTATTTTATCGGGCACTTTGGCGCTCAATTTTTATTCATTTTTAGCCGTTTTATTTTTATCTTTTCGCTAAAATATTCACAAAAATAAAATACAACTTTTCATTTTGCATTTTATTTTTATCATTTGAATTTTATTTAATTTTATTGATTTAATTTAATTTAAATCACTTAAATCATCTAGAAGGGGCATTTTAGGCATTTTAAATTGTCACTACGCCAGAATTGACTTTTAGCAACGCATACAAAGACAGCGCTTTTAGAAAAAGCGCTGCTAAAGAGGCATTTAAAAAAAAGGAAAAAATTGTTTACCAAAGACAGCGCTTTTAAAAAGCACTGCTAAAGGGGAGCCCAAAGAAAGCGCTTTTTAAAAA